ATGACTAAACGTGGCAAAACAAGTATACTCAGAGGACCTCAAATGGTATTAAGTCTCAAAACGGCTACAATAAGTAGAGATTCTATTTTTGGCTAATTGGATATTACAAATCACCAATTTTATAGTCAAATAGTTAAAATTGGTGAAATCAACTAAATTTTGACTGAAGGGAATGGATTACCAAGATTTTGGGTTGAAATGGACTCGATGGCGGCTGTGGCTATCATGAACGCCGAAGGGAACCAGGATGAGGAGATAGTAACTTATTAAAGAGAGCAATAAGTTGCTCGAGAGCTTCGTTTTGGTTCAGTTTTCACATATAGACAGAGAAGGGAATCAATGTGCGGATTGGATCGCGAACTGGGGTCAATCTATGGATTGGGAAACCTCTATGTTAAACAATGTGTCGGACGACATGAAAGATCTTCTCAAGGCGAATGCGCATGGCGTTTCTAATCTCGGAATTAGATAGTGCATTGTTATGTGAGGCTTGTGAATGTATCCCAGAAAAATTAAATTTTGACTGATAAATCAATTTTCAGTGGGCCAATTATAATTATTTTTAAATTTACAAAAAAAAAAAAAAAAAACAAACAAACAAACAAAACAAAACAAAACAAAACAAAACCAATCAGTTTGCTAGTCATAATGAATAAAATATTATAAAATTATGTCATCAACTCATCATGTCCGAAATTTGTGGGTGGCCAAATCCCGGGCTTGAGGCGGTCTCGTGCCGGGCATGGGCCTAGGTTAGCACTGATCAAGACAGGCTCAGGTTCTCGGGCCTCTTGTGGGCCGGTCCCGAGCTTGATCCTGAATTTTTTATTTATTTTTATATAAAATATTTATAAATTGTTTTTTAAAAAAATGAAATTTAAACCATTGACCTCACGATTAACAACGAAAGTTCTTACCACTTAAATTACTTCAATCTTTTGATACAATAATGTTAATATATATATATATATATATATATATATATATATATATATATATATATACACACTAGTTTTACACGCGCATTGCGCGAATGAGTTAATGCCCAATGTTTATAATTAAATAAATAAATATTTGAAAGTATATCAATACAAGATTATATATGAGAAGTTCGTACATAAATAATTTGACGTCGAATTTGTTTATTTAAATATGTAACTCATAGTATATGAATACAATGTAATATAGGATATTCATTATAATTGTTACTAAACTTTTTTTAAATAGTAATCAAGTATTTTTGTTGCAAAGGGTTCCAATAGATTTAATGAATGCACATATATACAAGATCAATGAATGAATCAACGGTACCAGTCCTTTATGTATTTTGCTCAGTGTTCATTTAGTTCAACCATTATTGTTGAATACATTATTATTATTATTATTATGGATAAAGAAATTCTGAATTTAAGGAATTTAGATGTAGTAAAAATTTAAAAATTTTAATTATAATGTAACTCAAAGATATTAGACGATTGATAATATGATGTAACCCAAATATCAAAATGCTAAAGAAAGTGTTTGGTTATTCAATAGTTTGAAGCAACAATTTGCTCCAAACCACTGAAAATACAAAGTACAAACATTGCATTTTACAATATTTTCACTTAGCGTTTTTTAGAATGATTTCCCCAAAACACCTCTATATTAAAAGAAAAAAAAAATTTACTGTAGAGCCATTTCGACTCCTTGAAAAACAAGAGTCAGTTTCGCTGGCTCACTGCTTGCCTATCAACGGATGGGCAAGCTTAATTTTTAAATTGGAGCCTTAAAGACTCCTTTTATAGGAGTCTCAAGGCTCCCATGCCACTTTTTCCACCGATGTAGAAAAAGTAACAAAACTAAGGGGAGTCGAACGTTCGGCTCCCCATATGTTTTTTTTTTTTTTTAAATTTTATTTCTTTTATTAAATTATTATTTTTATTTATTATTATTATTATTATTATTATTATTATTATTATTATTATTATTATTATTATTATTATTATTATTATTATTATTATTAAATATATGTATACCCTTAGGTCATTTTACATGTTAATCTAAACAGTTAATTTTTTCAAATATCTTTTTATCAACCGTTGATATAATTCACTGGTCAAATCCGCTAACGCTAACCGCTAACTACTGATTATTCTATGAGCAAATTATTGTGTAAACCATAAATAAAAAGTACATTTTTAATATACTAAGGGTACATTATTTATATACGTAAGATACATTTTTTGAAAGTACATTTTTAATATACTAATATAATGTACCTTCAGTACAAAAATAATGTACTTTTAATATATTAAAAATGTACCTGATATTTATGGATTGTGTGGATCATGATCCACACAATAATTTGCTCATAGAACCGTGTTCACCTTGCAAGGTGGACACGGTTCCACAGCATAATGACAATCATTATTGTGTGGATCATATTTTGTATACTGTAAAATAATGTACATTTAGTACAAAAATAATGTACATTGTATTCAGGGGATGTACATTATTTTTGTTATGAGTGTACATAATATTGTATAATGTACATTCAGTACAAAAATAATATACATTTAATATATTAAAAATGTACTTTTTGGTATGGTCCACATAACATTGTGTGGACCATGGTCCACACAATAATTTGCCGCATAACAACAATAGTTATGCTGTGCAACCGAATGCACCGTGCATGGTGCATACGATGCAAAACGACGTCGTTTTGACTAAAAACGTGCGTTCCACTTAAAAAAAAAAATCAGGTTCGACTCTCGGCAATAGTATTATTGTGGATATATAGTTATGAATTTATGGATATTTAGTTCATTCATTGTGGATATTTAGTTCATTCATTGTAAATATTTACTTCATTCATTCACTGTGGATATATAGTTATGAATTTATGGGTATATAGTTATGAATTTCTGGATATTTAGTTCATTCATTGTGGACTTTTACTTCATTCATTCACTGTGGATATATAGTTATGAATTTATGGATATATAAAAATGCTATTACCGAAAATCGAACCTGATTTCTTTTTTAAGTGGGACGCGCGTTTTTTTAACCAAAACGACGTCGTTTACAGCATAATTTGCGGCATAACAACAATCGTTATGCGTTGGACCCGTGTCCAGCATGCTTGCTGGACACGGGTAACAGTGCCGTTAGGCACTGTTATCTCTCTCTTTTTTTTTTTTTTTTTTTTTTTTAAAAAAAAAAAAAAAATTCCAGACCGCTTCGTTATAGGAGTATATGTTCATAATTTTATTACTATATGTTAATAACTGTACATTCATAACTCTATAACTGTACGTTCATAACACTATAACTGTACATTCATAACTCCATAACTGTACATTCATAACTCCATAACTGTACATTCATAACTCCATAATTGTACATTCATAATTTTCGAAGCTCTATGTTCACAATTTTAGAGCTCTATGTTCATAATTTTATCACTATATGTTCATAATTGTAAGTTCATAATGTTAGAGCTCTTTGTTCATAATTCGATCAATAACTGTACATTCATAATTCCATAACTGTAGATTCATAATCTCATAACTGTAGATTCATAACTCCATAACTGTAGATTCATAACTCCATAACTGTAGATTCATAACTCTATAACTGTACATTCATAATCTTCGAAGCTCTATATTCACAATTTTAAAGCTCCATGGTCATAATTTTATCACTATATATGTTCATAATTGTAAGTTCATAATGTTAGAGCTCTGTGTTCATAATTTCATAATTGTATAACTGTACATTCATAACGGCATAACTGTACATTCATAATCCAAAAAAAAATAACGCCGTTAACGGCAAAACGCGCGCAATTTTTTTTTTTTAACTAAATGACGCGTTTTTTTTTTTTAAAAAACGACGTCGTTTTGGGCCCGTGTCCACAATTCAGTGTGGACACGGGTCCAGGGCATAATTTGCCGCATAACAATTGATGGGCCGCGTTAAAAGGCTTGGGAAAAGGTCAAAAATCGTAGCCCGGTTTAAAGTCCTCTGAAAATTGACTTGTGTGACAATTGCAGGCCTTAATATGGGCCTGACCTTTAAAATCACATTGCCCGGCCCACTATCACAATAATTGAATAGAAACTTTTAGGGGGCCTTTGGTTTGTTGGAAAAATTTTTCTAATGAAAAATTCTTAACGTTGAGGAAAATTGAGGCAAATCAGTTGTATGGATCACAGTCCAAAATGATGACGTTGAATAGTATGAGTAAAAATTATTTACATTATGTGTTAGAATAATGTACATTATGTGTTAGAATAATGTACATTATGTATTAGAATAATGTATATTATATATTAGAATAATATACATTACGTATTAAAATAATATACATTACGTGTTAAAATAATAAAATTTATTAGGTAATATAATGTACATTAAGTTTTAGAATAATGTACATTATGCTTTAGAATAGTGTACAATATGCTTTAGAATAGTGTACAATATGCTTTAGAATAGTGTACATTATATGTTATAAAAATGTATGTTCAGCGTGTCGCGTGATTTTTTTTTTTTTTTTTTTTTTTTTTTTTTTTACACAAAACGACGTTGTTTTTAGAGCGTTGTCCACACAACTATATGGACCACGGTCCACACAATAACTATTGGAAAATTGAATAGCAAGATTATTTTACCCTTATATGACTTTTTTAATTACACAAATATAAATAGAAAAACCTTAGCAGAATCTTTTTTTTTTCCCTTCTTTCTTCTTTTTTTTTTTTTTTTTTTTTTGAAAGGAGCCTGCTCGGCATTTATTCAAAATATACTGAAATAGCGCTTGGTGGATCGGAATCCCAATACATAGTAACTGAATGAGTAAAAGCTGTAGATGCTAAAGCGTGTGCTAAATAGTTATCTAATCTAGGAACATAATAAAGCGAGCAATAATCAAAAGTCAACATACTGGTCCTGCAACTGTCAATAGCATAACCCAGATATGAGTGCGGCGAGCGTGTCGTAGACGATAGATATTGTTATAGGGTCAAACAATCCGTGAATAGCTGGATCGACGTTTCCCCACGTGCCCTTAACCAAGACAGGACTTCCTTACATGCAAAGGCTTCCGCCATGAGTGGTGAAAAACAGTCTATTAGTGGCGCCGACATAGCCGATATGTAACCACCGTGTCCGTCGATAATAACTGCACCAACCCCTGCCCTGTTTGTTTGATTGGAGTATGTTGCGTCGAAATAACAGTGGCGTCCCAATGGCAGTTGAAGATTGTTGGACGTGGTTTGCAGTGCTGTTGGCAGTAACCTTCGTGATGCAGCAGTGGAAGTTGGCATGTGAGTTTCCGAATTTGCAGCAGCCAACCCGTGGCTTCCAGGCTGTATCTGTGTATTTTGCTCTCCAAGAGTCATACGGCCAGGCGTCATATTGGTGGTCAAACTCGTGGTTCCAGTGTGGACAAGTTTCCACGCATTCATCGCCGAGGTCGCCATTGCTATCACCTTCCGAGGTCTCGGTAAGTGTGCTTCCCATACAGCCCCATTTCTTGTTCGCCAAATATAGTATAGAAGAGCCACTGCATAAATAATCCCATCATCATCTAAAATATTCAACAAATCATCAAACCAATCACTAAAAATATTTGTGACACTATTGGGGATTGGAAGGTGGGATTGTGCCCAAATGTTAGCCGTATAGTCACATGTGATTAGAGAATGCACTATATCTTCATGAACAAGGTCACACATTGCACAAGTTGGATCAATATCTACTCTCTTACTAAGCAGGTTCTCTGTAGTGGGTAAAATATCACTAAGAGCTCTCCATAAGAATGTTTTCCACTTTGGGGGGACTTTTAGGCTCCATAATTTTTTCCATTTATCAAAGGTTCCTGTCGGTTGGGAGTAATTGCCTATCACTGCTTTATATCCCTCTTTAACACAATATTCTCCTCTTGGGTCTCCGTACCAGTACCACACATCCTCATAATAAGGAGACACAGGTATTTTTAAAATTTGCTCCACATCCTGAGGTATGAAAATGCCCGTTAGAATTTCCTGATCCCAGGTTCCAGTCTGCTGATCCATTAACCCCACCACTTTTGCCTGTGCCAATTGAGGTGGTTTTTCTGTTAATATTCGTGGTTGATTTTCATCATGCAACCACGGGTGGTCCCAAATCAATGTTGATTTGCCATTTCCAATCCTGCGCCTGACTCCCCCACAAATTAAACCTTTAGCCGCCATAATACTCCGCCAACAGAAACTCGGGTTATTACCCAAGCATGCGTCATAGAAAGAATTAGTTGGGTAATACCTGGCTTTATATACTCTTGAAACCAGTGACTGTGGCTGTGTCAGGAATCGCCATGCCTGTTTACCTAGCATTGCAAGATTAAAGGCCCTCAATTCTTTAAAACCTAGTCCTCCAAATTTCTTTGGAATACACAGTTTATCCAGGCTTTCCAATGGATGCCCTGATCATTCCCGGACCTCCACCAGAATCGATTCATAGTTCTCTCAATGGCCTACAAAGATTCATAGGCAGTAAAAATACACTCATTGAGAAAGTAGGCATAGATTGAGCCACACTTTTCAATAGAACTTCCTTCCCTGCCTGTGATATAAGTTTCTTATTCCACGAGCCAATCCTCTGTCTTATCTTATCCTCTATATAAGAAAATGCTTCTCTTCTGTTCCTGCCCACAAATGATGGAAGCCCCAAATATCTTCCAAAATTCTGAGCCTACACCACCCCCAATATATCAGCAATCTCCTCCCTCACTTCACCCTGTGTATTCTTACTAAAACATATATTCGATTTGTGATAATTAACCGCCTGACCAGACATGTTTTCATAAGTTGCTAAACAACGTTTTATCACTCCTGCTTCCTGGCTATTAGCTTTGAAAAACAGGAGGCTATCATCAGCAAAGAACAAATGGGTAATGGGGGGTGCCCCTCTCGCAACTCTGCATCCATGTATTTCCCCCGCGACTTCTGCCTGGTTTAATAATATCGAAAGGCCCTCTGCACAAATAATGAACAAATACGGAGATAGAGGATCACCCTGCCGCAACCCACGTGTTGGGGTTATTTGATCACTTTTTGAACCATTCACCAGCACATTATACGATACAGTGGTCACACACATCATCAATAAATCCACCCATCTGTCATCAAATCCTAGAGCTGTCAGCATTTTCTGCAAAAATGATCATTCCATACGATCATAGGCTTTTGCCATATCCAGCTTCAAAGCCCCCCAGCCAGCTAATCCACATTGCTTTCTGTTTAAATAATGGCCAACCTCCGCAGCTACCAAAATATTATCTGTAATAAGTCTCTCAGATATAAACGCACTCTGGGATTCAGATATAACACTCTCCATCAATGGTTTCATTCTAGCTGTAATCACTTTTGCCATAACTCTATAAACAACATTACTCAGGGCTATTGGCCTATAGTCAGAAACCATTTCGGGGGTTTTCTTCTTCGGGATCAATATAATATTCGTCTCATTTAATCCATCCGGTAAGGAGCAGTTATTCAGGCAATTCACAATAAATGCAAAAACATCAGACCCTACCACATCCCAAAAATGTTGGTAGAACCCGGGATTCATCCCATCCGGCCCTGGTGCCTTATCCGGATACATTGAAAACAAGGCCGCCTTTATTTCACTCTCCTCAAAAGGCCGAATCAGCCTCTCATTCTGTGCGGCAGTCACACGGGGTTGTATACTCTCAAAAAAATCATCATTAACCATAGATGTACTCGAGCTAAAAATACCACGGTAATAATTCAAAATAACATCTCGCATGGCTTCTCCTTCTATCCAATCCCCATTATCACTCATAATTTTAGCAATGGTATTCTTTTTCTTTCGGTGAGAAGCATACCTGTGATAAAATTTGGTGTTTGCGTCCGCATCCTTGAGCCAGTGCTGCTTGGCCCTCTGCCTCCAGTATACATCCTCCTGTAACTCAATACGAGTTAGAGACTCATCCAATCTTCGAAATTCGGCTAGGGATACCGAATCTGTACGCCCTCTCAGACGCATCTGCTCCTTGCGCAAGGCAACAATCTTCTCTCCAAATTTGTGAAAACGGTCTCCACCCCACCGTGTTAACCGGTTTCCACAAAATGTAGTGCACTCCTGCAGCCCCTTATTCCTTCCTTCACCCCATGATCTCTCCACCACCTCCCTACATCCTTCATCATGTAGCCATGCCATCTCAAAACGGAAACCCCTACCCAAACCACCCCGCCTCCCCCGAAGATTGAGAATCCCAAGGAAAAGGAAAGAGTGGTCCGATTTTCGGGTCAAAATGTTTTGCACATTCGCATCAGTCACTAACTCTCTCCAAGGCTGCGTGGCCAACACCTTATCTAAGCGTTCCTCTATCCAATTCGGAGTGCCTTTCCCCTTCTCCCAAGTGTAGGGATACCCAGACATCGGCAATTGAGTCAAACCACATTCCTCGATAGTCTCTCCAAAACCCCGTAGTAAACTGTCTGGATGTGGGTTTCCCCCACGTTTCTCATACTGGAATAAGAGATCGTTGAAATCTCCAATAATAACCCACGACAGATCCGACTTACTTGCTAATGAACGGATAAGGTCCCATGACTCCCTTCTCTGTGGACGTTTCGAGAAGCCGTAAAATCCAGTCATCCTCCATTTATCAAAACCAGGAATAGTCACCTCAATATCAATGTAATTATTCGAATAGCCAATCAGTCATGCAGAACTATTCGTCCTCCATAACATAGCCAATCCCCCACTCAGACCAGAATTATCCACATTAAACAGGCCTTCAAAACCAAGCTTAACCCGAAGACGCTCTGCATGATCTCGGTTAACCTTAGTTTCCATCAGAAATACAAAATCGGGCTTCTTACGGGACACTATGTCCTCAATCTCCCGAACTGTCCGTGGATTACCCAAGCCACGGCAGTTCCAGCTCAAAGTACTCATTGGGTTGGGCGGGTCTGCACCGCAGCACCCGCCATTTGCAATTTTTTTTGAACCTCTGTCATTGTCACATCCTCCCCCACCATCACTCCCCCATCAACCCGCCCTACCCTAACATCCCCCTCCTCCGGTATAGCCGAATAAGTGTTATTCGGCTCCACTCTCACACCCAACTCCCCCTCACTCACAACTCCACCATCCGTTCTCCTCCGTTTCGGATCCACCCTTACTCCCTCTTCCTCCTTCTTTCTTCTTTATTTATAATAATATTTATTATATTATTTTAATAAAATATGTAAGTATAATAATTAAATTTATAATATTGTAATTTATAAATTATAATATTTTAATTTAATTACTGTTGTTTTCAATTTTTTTTTTTAAATTATGGTTACTTTTATTATCATTATTCTTGTGTAGAGACATGTTAGTCTTTATACTCATTATTCTTTACAATTTTAAATCCAACCAAATAATGGAATCAATATTCCCAACTGGTCCTTCTATTTGGTTATGCGTTAGCAATGACTACTCGCTCTCAAATTAGTCATTCTATTTGGTTATCTTCGATTCTTTAGTGTATTGAACATTTGATTTAACAAAGTTTTTGTATTGGTTTTCAATATATATATATATATATATATATATATATATATATATATATATATATATATATATATATATATATATATATATATATACCCAACAATTTATTTTCTCAAATCATACAATGAAATCAATCTTTCTAGTAATTTCCTTTCCATGAAATTTAAAATCCATTCTTCCTCAATTATTTTTCGCGAATCAAACGAGTCATAGGAAACAGACCGTTTATGATATATGTCATGTAAATGAATTGTCTCAAATAAAAAATCTTAAGGAAAAAAAAAAAAACTAGACTATTCTATTATACTATTTTTTTAAAGCCTGATAGTTTTTCTTGACCCGTCAACTAGTACCATAATCCAAAATCATGTTTGTGTCGACCAGGTAAGACCTTAAGAATAATCGCTTTAATTTACGTATTCAATGTATGCTGTTTTAATTTTTGACCAATTCCAACCTAACTATATCTTATGAAGATCAACTCTAACTGAATCCTTTAATCATACTTAAATGCATTAATCAGTCTTACACTGCGGCTGTAACTAGTTTTCATTTCATACAGGGTCTTTCAAAGTTGACTTATCAAACTTATCATCCATTTATCCTTATCGGTTTAAGGTTCAATAAATCATTTCATAGACCTTTTTCCACCCATGAAAATGATGTTGTCAACTCTATGGTTTATTCATTTATTCGGTTGATAAGTTTGTAATTAATTTTATAGTCATTTATTTGAGACAAAGGAGTAAATGAGATAGAGTTATTTTTAACCATTTGTAAATTTTGAGTATCCCATAGATTAAGAAAATGACTAGGCGGCCGATTAGCTATTGTTATGTTTTTTTTTTTAATGAGTTCTTTCACTCAAAACGACGTCATTTTTAGCGAAATAACTCTAAATTGTTCAAATCGGTCGCAAATCCAAACAATGTTTTAAAAAAAAAAATGAAACCAGCTACTCTACTATTGATACTTTGTGAGTTATGACTTTGTGGAATTGTGTTTTGATTCTTTAAATCTTTATATAATTTACAAATCTAGATGTTTTTTAGGTTAATATTTATATTTTAGTATTAAATATTAAATAGTTTATAATTATCAAGTCTTAAAAAAAATATTAAAAAAAAATTGGGGTGCCCGAAAAACACCTAGCAATTTTGCAACCTTGATTTTTTTTAAGAAGAGAGTTTGAAGGTTTTTTTTAAAAAATATTTTTAAAAAATATTTTTAATATATATTTTTAATTTTTTATTTTATTTTATGCAGTAATGTCGGTTGGTTTAACAACATAGATTAAATATTTTGTTTTTGGGTGGGGGTGGGGGTGGGGGTGTGTGTGAAACGGCTGGATGTCAGCTTACCCAAATCTTAGGGTTTTACTAAGATGATGATATTCTCTTCAATTATTGCATGATCTAAAATATAATTGTCTACTGTTTTGAAATCTTTTCTTCGAAAGCTAGAGCATATGGTTAATTGCAAGTGAAATTTAGAATCAATTAAGAAAGGTAAAGACCACTTCTTAACCTAATTTTTTAGGTTTTCAATTCCTCAATTATAATTATGGTATAGATTTAATTTTTCTATTGTTCATGATGTTAATTTATTAGTTCTTAAATTCTTAGTAAAGTAATAGATTCGGTATTTATAATTTTAATGAATT